AAGACAGTTCTGAGTTCACCGTGTCAAGATGAGTACAGTGATGTGCATCTCATTGCAAATGGCCAGGCTGACCTGTTGACCTTTCCTGGTTAGGTTGACATTACTAAGAAAAAGATGCGGAATGCACCATTTCTGTACTGGATGAGGAACTATTTTTGAAAGTTCAAATAATACAAAGAAGCTTTTGACATTTACCAGCTTCTTTCTGAATGCGCCACCCACCCTACTTCCAGTCAAACTCGTAAGGGCTTTTCAGTGCGATTTAGATTACACATAACTTGCTAGGCTAGCCGATATAAAGTCCAGTGACCGGTTCAGAAGGATGGGAGGTTGAGATGGAAAAACTGGGAGCTGATAGCGGTTTGGGATCCAGGACTTGATTCCACGGATCGTGAGCTTAACAAACGGGGCCTTTTCCTACAGCGCTGCCTCCACTAGCGGGATAAAAGCGGTGTACGTAGATTTTTAGTCAAACTAGTCGCACTGTCGCGATATGAACCTGGATAATATGAAACTAAAAAAAACTCACTTTCTTGGAGTCTCCTTTACAGGTTTTCCTTCAACATCTGAATGATAACCACTTTTTTGGTCGGCAATAGAGTGCAAATCGGGTAGAGACCTGTAAAGCACGTAAACCATTTGAACATAACGTTTCATTTTTTTCCCAGTGAAAATACCTACCGATTTTTTCTTATGCTGAACACAGACGAATTAAATGGCATATTCCTTTTCCTCTGTTGAACCTCCAACAAAGACTGTCTGAAAATGAAACAACTTATTATAGATATTTTACCAACGATAGATTCCGCAAGGCTCAATCGATTAGCAGCGCACTCACTCCTGCTTCGGCTCCTGTGAATCCTTTTTCCTCACTGGTTCGGGAGCAGCATCTATCGCTGCGGCCGGCTTTCGATCATTTTCTGCTCCAGCGCTCTTTTCACTCAGGATTTTCGCACTTTCGGTTAAAACCTAAATAAATAGTAATAACAAAGGAAAGCAAATAAGAATAGCAATCAACATACTTGGTCAGTGGATTGGGCTGGAGGACACCCTGGTTCCGGTAGAGGAGATGTGAGCATATATGATGGTGTCTGATGTGGATCCGCTTCTTCCACAAAAAACGCAACACCACTTTCACCCAGCTTCATTTTCAAGTCGATTTCCTCACCGTTGATTTGAATATCGACGTACTGAATGTATTAAACAAAATTGGGCACCAAAGTTTCATCCATTTGAGAACAAACAACTGTTTGAGAATAATAGCAAGCACAGGCGCCACCAAGCGTTCTAAAATTGTAACGTGCAGATTTTCTTACCACAAAACATTCCCCCACTTCTTACTTTAAACTTCAGCTGTCTCTCTGTTTCCT